GAAGGTAAAGGGAGTTGGTTGTGCAAGTGTCTGAATGCTTGGCATGTTGGTGACAATCACAGCTTCTTGTCTCTTCTGTATGCATGAATTCAGACATACATTACATCTTCTTAGAGCTATTTCAGGCACCACTTAACACATCAGCTGTGATCTAATTCAAGATGCACAAAATCAGCAAGTTTATGAAGTTCTCATCCATGCAACAAATTGATCTAGGTTCTGGGCAGCAGCAGACAAGGACAGCCTGGACTTGGGTGATGACTGAAAAGACAAGTGACTTCTGCAGGGTGCTGGTCACAGCCTCCAGGCTGTCACTTCCACAGGGGAGGAGTTAGAGGATGGTAAAAGCAGAGCACTGAGGGGTGGGATCTGGCAGTTTTATCTCCGCTGACTGTAAACTTACCCAGCTGTCAAGGTGTGCATTGCACAACTCGGCTTGGCTGCCAGCCTGCTACTGCCCCAACCCCTTGACTTTGTATGAAGTCGAGGTTTGACAACCTGTGAGATGGTTATAGCACGTATTAAATACTTTCAGTGTGCAGTAGTTTGTCCCATAACTGTGCTTTGCCTCTTTTAAATGTGAGGATGGGGAGGAAACGTGATTTTCTCTGTGTTCATTAGATATTAAGAAAGCTCTGGCTTAGTCCTGTGAAACCACAGAAATGCACTGTAGGAGTACAATTCAGGTTTCTCAGTAAGGGCCACGAGTACAGAACTATTGGATTTCATTTAGATTTTGCTCTGTATTCTAGCAGAGGGCTGCTGAAGGTGATTCTTTACAACAGCAGCACTTGCAAATGATCCTCAGCAACTTTCCTTAGAAGAATTAACTCTCTTGGAGTGCTGAAACATGATCATTTGACAGTTCTGACTGTACTTTAAACATACTCTATAATTAGTAACCTGGTAGCTAAATACAAGCAACATGTTTTCACTGAGGTTGAACTTTAAATGCCAACAAACCAGTGTCTCTGGGGTGAGGGGAAGGTTTCTCATGAACAAGACTTAATTCTTCTCTCTCTGCCCCTTGCAGGGTGGCACGCTCACGCAATACGAAAACAAGCTGAGGCTTGTGGAGATAGCTCAGGTCCCAAAAGCACACGTGGATGAATTCAAGTCCGTGTCCAAATTCAAAATCTTCAATACCAACAACTTGTGGATTGCTCTGTCTGCAATTAAAAGGCTGCAAGAGAAAAACGCTATTGACATGGAGATCATTGTTAACCCAAAGGTAATCAGCTAGGAAGATGGTAGAGGAAACAGATTCAGAAGTGTTTGCTTCTGGGTAACTGAACAGGGACTGCTGCCTTCAGGAAGGAGCCTGTCTGTTGGCTCTGACTTAGGCTCAACACTAGTTTTGGGTGCCGTTACCTGCTGGTTATGTTGACATGAGTTTTCTCTTCCAGACCCTGGATGGAGGCTTGAACATCATCCAGCTGGAGACTGCAGTTGGTGCTGCTATTAAGAGTTTTGAGAACTCTCTAGGGATAAACGTACCTCGTAGTCGTTTTCTGCCTGTTAAGACCACGTCAGATCTCTTGCTTGTGATGTCCAATTTGTATAGCCTTAATGCTGGATCCCTAACAATGAGTGAGAAGCGAGAATTTCCAACAGTGCCTCTTGTCAAACTGGGAAGTTCTTTCACAAAGGTAAACTTCTGTAATTATACTTTGGTATCATTATACTTTTATCTCTTGGAATAAAAATAGGCTGTAGCAATAACTAAGTGAAAAGTGAGGTTTAATCAACCTCTGCCCATCTGAGCTTTCCCTTTTGCTCTTTGTAAAGAACTGTTTGTTACAATACCAACTACTTCACATGCATACATGATGTCACACTGCTGTCAGATGCTCTTTACCCTGTCCCTTGAGGAAAGAGAAGGTGAATTGGGCTGTGGGTGCTCTCTAGAGCTTGCCCGACATGGGTGAGATGCTGCCTCATGGTTACCTCTGAAAAAAATGTCAATAGCAGGTTGCTTTCCTGCATTAACTCAGGTGGAGATTCTACAAAGGTCCCTGAAAGGAGTTTTCAGGAAGCTCCCACACTTGTTACGATCCACAGATGGATTTAAAACTGTCCCTATTCTTTCCTCTCTCCAAAAGGTTCAAGATTACCTGCGGAGGTTTGAAAGTATTCCAGACATGCTGGAGCTGGATCATCTCACGGTTTCAGGTGATGTTACGTTTGGGAAGAATGTTTCATTAAAGGTGAGTGTGTAATTGGGATGCTCCTGCAATAAACATGACTAATCTCTGCTCCCTGGTAACTGATCCTGCCTCAGTCTGGGCCTTTACGCACAGTCCATGCAAGCGCTCCTAGGAAGTAACTGGCCACTACAGCTGCTTCCCTGTACAGTCCTAGTGGGAGATGAGGCTTATCTATGAACCTTGGAAACACCACCAACCTTGGGTCCAAAACAAGGCTCACTTCTTTGTCCATTAGCACAGGCCCCTTTAGAGCCACAGGCCCCTTCTTATCAACTGGGGTTCTTGATTCATTAGTAGATGTTGAAGCTGAACAAGTTAGTTTCTCTCTGATTCTTCCTTAGGATCTGGCCAGTCCTAAGTAGAACTTTGTCACTGTCCTGTAACAGTCCAGGGCAGTTCAGCTGCTGCCAGAGATGGGTGGTGCAAGGTGAGGCTGCACCAACCAGCACTCAAACTGAGGCTGTAACCAGTGTGCACATGCAGATGTGTCTCTTCCCAGTTCTCTGTATTTGCCCCTAGTGGCAAGCTGTGCTCCAACATACTCGTGGGCAACATTTTTCCACCTAAAAGCAAGCAGACACAATAGGAGTGCTTACAGCAAGCACGTGTCTTCAAAGAAGGCATCTGCTCTCTTTGTAAACGGATAGTATCAACTATGCTGGTAATTACAGTGTTTCCAATATTGCTTGTTTAAAACCTTTGTTGCTGGGGAAAAAACCCAAACAGTCTATGCAGAAACAATACAACTGGCTGCATCCAGGACCTGGCTGTGTTACAGCTGGCACCTCGCTGGTCCTCCAGCCAGTGCTGTGCTTGCTCGGTCCAAGTCAACAGGTAATACAAAGTTTCTAAGCGCTTGTTTTCTTTCCTGCATTCCAGGGAACAGTTATCATCATCGCCAATCACGGGGACAGAATTGACATCCCAGCTGGAGCTCTACTAGAGAACAAAATCGTCTCTGGCAACCTGCGGATCCTGGACCACTGAGTGGGTGAAAGAGCACGGTCAGTTCTGCAGACTGCTGTGCTAAACCAGCCTCCTGACGGAAGAACCTTTTAAGCATTAGAAGTATAAGTACACAGAGGGCCTACGCTTTGTCATCTCCATAGTACCCTGCAGTATTAATTTCCAATTACTTTCTCGTGCTTATCTCGTTAAGCAGACACATAGCGCCATGGATGTGCGTGAGCAGCGCTTCAGTCCTTCACACAGATTCTGTAACTCAGTTAATATAACCTTGAAGTGCAATACTGTTTGTCTTGCGGTAAGATGGACAGATCTTCTTTGATAAGAAGTGAAGAGGCTTGCCTCTGACATTTAGTAGTTTTGAATTGCTTGTAACTGCAGAAAGCAAGCTGTGAAGCAATACAGGTGGGACAACGTGGTTAGCTACGCGTGTGACTCTCATGAAGGCACAGTTGAAAACCAAACGTTTCACTACTGCTAAATGGGCTGTTAAAACCCCTGTAGTTCATGTGCTCACAACTCTCCCACCCCAGAGCCCTCTTCAGCCCCCCCAGACTACAAGTGCGATGTCTCATCCCAGTTGTACGTTGCGATAGTTGGGGTGAGGCTGCCGATACCTCCATTTCTGTATTGTGAGAGTGGGAATCGTCGCTGTTCCAAACTCACCCAAAGAATCCAATACTTGAGAAAAATGCCTCAGTATCCACGTGTGGTGTTTGCTTTTTCACATCCCCTTTAAGACTGGATCTCCTATTCATATCTGAATCCTCAATCTGCCCTCTTCTTTTTCAATAAATGGATCACGTTGACTACACCCATGTTCATATTGTCACAGCCATGTATGTTAATTTATCTTCTCTTGAGTCATTTCTAAATTTGTACAGGAATTGAAATCCCTGTCCCGATCACTATTGATTTCTTAATGTTTCTCTTGTATTTACATGCAGACAACTTTTATTTTATAAGCTTAGTATAACACTGGTATGTATCATTAAAGAAGTTGGTCTTTAAAAACAACTGTGATTTTATAGCTTTATTTTGACTGACAATTAATGACATCTTTTCTGCTAACAGATAAGCATGCCTGGCTGGAGAACCCGAGGCGCACACATACACACACACACACTGTAGACCATTCCATCGTACATCATCGGCACAGGGTTAGGCACTCGGACTAGGGGTCGGGAGAGAGGTGTGAGGTGAGATACGCAGGCACTTTTCCTTAGTACTGGCAGCGTCCAGTCTTAAAAGGTAGTATTAAAAACTCTTAAATAAATTAATCTCAGTTGCACCTTCCTCAGCGGTGCAACCTTCTATAAGCAGCCTAAAACCTTTAAAATCCCTCCTGCCCTGTTTTCCGTGTCCTCTTCTGACGTTATACCCATCACTTTGTGTCTATAAGCACTGCAACTGGCAAGGCCCTGAAGCACACTCGCTGTCCTTCCCCTCCTGGCAGCGGCTGTGCTAAGGGCAAGAAGCCATCCCCACCCCAGCCTCTTCTACTATCTGTTCTGTCCTCACTACTTCGATGATGGCTTCACAACTCCATCCTGTCCATGACGGCTTCAGCCACCTGCCTGTTAAGAGTCATATCTTCAGGTGGCAGTTTAGAGCCCAGCTGTTGAGAACCCCCCTGAAACAGGGCTGCTCCCTAACAAATCTGAATCCTATGTGCAAGCAATCAAAAGACATTTATTTATATAAAGTTCTGTAAAAAAATAAATTTTAAACAGCATAGTTTTCATAGAGAAAAACATTTTCTACAGAGTTCCAACTGCAGGATTTTCATATTGTACCATCATTAAATAAGGTGGGACACCGTGTGAATTTCATTGCACTAGAAGAAATGCAAAGCATCTTTTTAATATAAAGATATACAGAGCATTCTAGACAACTACAGCTGTGTTACAGCTATGTGTTCTTTTGGATTTGGTCCAAAGAAACCTGAGTCTGTTTCCAGAGAGAATGAAAAAAACATTGCACAGACAGCTGATCACTTGTTTCTTGCTGACGGACACTGGAAAGATCACTCCCTGCAGCTCGCTCTGCATCTAGTTTCCCCGACTATCAATAGTGTCCTTTCTTGGACTCTGGTCTTAAGTATTCACCTCACAGTCGTCAGGCTGCTTAGAAGAAAGTCAGTTTGTTGTCAGAGCCAAGTGACTGCTCCCAGTGGATTATCACCTCTTCTGCTCCCAAATCTCAGCCATGTTTAGGTCTAAGTTGTTAAGGCCTTTCAGGGCTTGAAGGTTTCCAGTGTAAAAAGCTACATCTGAAGTAACCAGTCTGCAGTGAAACATACAACAAGGTTAGCACCTGAACCTCTCACGTCCACCTGGAGTAGTCAAAAACAAGCAGGGTTTGTTCATGACTTGGGCAATTACAGCGATACATGTTCGAACACTACGGCTGGATGAGAGATTTCAAGTATCAATTCAAAACTCACTGCTACAGCTGTGGTTTATTTTACAGCAGTGATTGTATGTAACAGGATTAGAACTAGGTGTAAACTAACATTTTAGTAGGTAAAGCTTCCCTAAAAACAGGGAAGAGAGATCAAACATCATGTTCAGCAGCAGGAACTGGGCATCTAAAACTTCCATTCTTTTGCTGTAATCCCAGGCTTATCTGGATTTAACCCCCCATTCCATCAATTGGGGTATTAATTACTGCAACATTAACTTCTGTATCCCAGAAGGTTAATGTAACAGCAACCAAACAGCGGAACAGTTACGCTGTTTGTAACAGTTTATACAGAGCAAAAATCCCTCATGCACACCAGGACAAATGTATCAGGGGATGACAAACAGGATCATAAGGTTTCTAGTTAGAAAGGAGCAAGATGTAGGAATAAAAGTTGTATTTTCACAGTAACAAAATGAAACCAGGATTCACAGACCTGGATTGTTACTATTACTACAGAAACGAGCAGTTTAAAATGGGACAAGGATCAGAAAAGCACGTTAAGAACTAGGTCAGTGAAGACTGCTGGAACAGCAGCAAGAACAGCAGCAGCGTTTGATGTTTCCCGTCTTCAACAGCCCCGACTCCACACTCCCAGAGCTGTCCCCTGAAGTAAGTAACTGCTGCTGTGACACAAGGCTCAGGGCAGGACTGTTCCCAGTGGCAGCAGGGACACCCTTCTGACAGGGAGGATGAGTGTGCTGGGAAATACACCACTGGGAACACCTGCCCCGGGACTCCCATCCAAAAGGGATCCTTTTAGGCCATCTGACTACAAGCGTCAGAGAGAAGCAGAAGAGCAGGATGAAGACAGCACACTGTGAAACGCTCCCCAACATGCTCTGGGTGCTCTCCTTTCCGCTGGGGTTGTGCCCTCACTACCATGCAGTAAGCTTGTTGGCTTCCAAATACCTTAGGAAGCAGCACCAAAGGCAGCTGGGTGTTACTCTGCACATACACCACAAGCACAGAAAACCATTTCAGATAAGCTGTTTCACAGGGTACAAGGGATGAGTAAGCTTAGTGCAGGACAAACAAGAATAAACTGAACAGGATTACACTTAGAATCATAAAATGGTTTGGGTTGAAGGGGCCTTAAAGCTCATCGAGTTCCAACCCCCTGCCACGGGCAGGGACACCTTCCACTAAAGCAGGTTGCTTCAACCCCCTGTGTACAAC